AGGGCTCATTCTCTTTGTTTCAATGCCTACAAATACGGAATCAGGTCAAACTTATAAAAAAACAATTATGTCACCCTTAAAAACGGGTAAAACGGGAACTCCCTCGAAATTTAGCATGAATTATGCTACAATTATAATTTCAAGTATATCGACTGTTTTCCTTTCGCCCAGATCTTTCATTTGAACCCTCGATCAACCCCCTAGCATTATTAGCATAGAAGTTATGCGCTTTTTCTTATCTTACAGTTTTTCGCCAATGTATCATCATTTTATTAATTTCATTATATATATTGTTTTTGTAAGTAGAAAACATTTAAAGTAAGCTTGGAGTAGAGAAAAAAAATTTTAATAAAAAAAAAATTTTGTTCCCCAAAAGTTTCCCATTGTCTCACAAGGGAAACTCCGGGGACTTTCCCACTGGGGAACATTCAGGGAATCTTTGGGAATCGAAATTTTTCTATACAGGTATAAATATATGTTAGTCCATTTTAATTGTTCTTTTTGATTGATACTTTACTAAATAAAATAGTAAATTTTCGAGATTTAATTATCAGAAAATGTAAACATCATCAATATTTTTGATTTAAAAAAGCAAGAATAAAAAGTATTCTTTCGTAAAATGATGAATTAACACATGGCTGTAATAATTTCATCAATTTATACTCCAGCAAAGTATAATACTCGATAAAATCATCGGCAAACACGAGTTGAAGGATGGTAGAAAGGTTATTAAAGAGTTATAAGAGCGTTAGGTGGAGATAGGACCGAAGAAATCGATACATGGATATTTATTCAGTTGAGAGGAACACATCTTTCATTGGCTGTCGAGTTATACTGTTGACTATTGCTCATATAGGGGATATGATGGGAAGAAGAGGCATCAACTTGAGGCATTTCCGGAAGCCAAGTAAGCCTCTTTTAGCTCACTTCTATATTCTGCTATCTAGACATTCTCGTCAATCCATCAACTGAGCTTGCACTTGGTTTACTTAGCATTGCTGATGCACTATCCACTTTACTCAGACCATCGGCTACATATTCTAGGGCTTCCAAACGTCCAGACTCACCACAAAGATTGTGATGGCGAGAGTAAATGTTTGACAGCGGGTTATGGGTACCTAGAGGCGCTCTAATTAGTTAGTTATTGATAGAACTGGTGCTTCTTGATTGCAAGCACACTTTGCTTTCTCGTCAGAGAGATTTCCCATTAGAAGAGCAATCTATATTTGCTGCCTACTTTTTTATTTTAATCCTTCACTTTCTTCCTCAAACATACTTTAAAATCCGTTAAAATTGAATAAATACCACATTTTTTTTTACCACGACTTATGTTCAAAATTCTTTTTTTTTTATTTACATTTTTTAATGAAATCAGTTGCTTCATGTTATCAACCTTTTTTTCAACCACCCGAAGTTTCTTAAATTCATAACACGTGCTAACTCATCTACATTCAATAGAGAAGGAGACAATAAAAAATTACTTTGGTCTTAGAAAAAAAAAAAAAAACTTCATTTTATTTAGCATATTTCATTAACTTCCTATTAGGAAGTTATCATAATGAAGTCGATCTTTAAAATTCGTACTTTAATCATATCTTTACATTTCAAGACATTTGAAACCATATTAAAAGGTTTAAAAATCGACTCATGTACGTACGTACAATTGTCCATACATGGAATTGTACGTACGTATGTCTGGTTTTTTTTTTCGTTCTCAATATCTCGAGAACCACCGAAGATATCGACTCCAGACCAATTTCATTTGGAAGATAATCCGATAAAGATCTGGAAGGAGTTTTAACAAATTCGTTCAAGTCATTTTTTTTTTTTTTTTATAACAAATAAACTGTAAAATGAATGAAGTAAAAGGCAATTGAGAATTAATTTTATTTATTTTATGATAAGAATTGTTGAAAAATTTTTTCAATATTTATAAAATATTATTGTTAATGATTATATAATCTAGAATAATTTCATATCGTTTTGAACAATTTTTATTTGTTATAAACAATTGGAAAATAGTTTTTAAACATAAAAAATGCTTATTGCTGATATTTTCAATTCCCATTGATAAAACATTGATAAATTAATAACTCCATATGACTAATAACAATTTAATATTGTTTATAACAATTAAAAAAAAACAATGAGGTGTCAATTTATCTCCTTTAACCCCATTTTTATTTTTTAATTTATTAAAAAACAGGGCTGTTAAAAAAATAAAAGAAACATTTAAATTTAGGATGCTATAAAATATGAATTATAAATAAATTTTCATTGATCCAAGCATAATGAGTTAATTATAATAGTAAAGAACGTCGATTAAATGTAAAATGAGTTTTTCACGAGTAAAAGTTGTAATGAAAAATCTATATCAAGTGTTTTTTTTCGCGCAAGTGTGGATAGGACAGTCGACTAATGAAATGAAAATGGTCTCTCCAGCGAATGGTGGCAATGAGAATAGAGGTAGAGAAGTGACACCAACATTGAGCAGACGGGTTTCCGCGGAACATACACGTATTACGAGCCGTTAGCGACCAACACTTCTCTCCATTCAATTTCACAGGCGACGGAACAGACCAACCCTGTCCGATAGTCGAGCATGATTAATGGACACAAGATATCTCTGCTTTTACTATCCATCGCTCTTGATATTCACCACCCATTTTACTCTTTCCCTCCTAGCTGCCTCTTTTCTTAAACTTTGCCCACCATTTTAATATTTAATAGAATATCATAAAATAATGATCCATGAGTTTTAAAAATCATTTTAAAGACAAATAGTTTCCTTGGTAGTTTTCAATTGATTTAACTTGGCAAAGTCTAATCAGTTTTCTTACTGTCACCAGGAACACTGATAACTATTTCAAATTCTATGAAACGAGACTCGTGGGAACAGGTAAGTAGGAACATTTAATTCCTTGTATTCCCAACAGACAAAGTTTAAAGTCTAGCAAAACAGAAGTGCTTGGCAAAAGTTATGATTTCCACTGATACATAATGTAGTTTCTTTTCTTATACCACCTTGAATTTTACTCAACAACTTGACTTGCAATAATAAAAGCACTTGGAAGCTCATGGAAAAATTCTTAAGCATCACTTTCTTGAAAGAAAGAGTAGATTAAAAGTTATTATTGCAAAAACTTGATTCCTTTGTCGATTCTTTTAGAGCCTTCAACACACTTGTATATATACATGTTTAGTAGTGCACTGGTAAGCAAGAGAATTACTGTCCAACCATCCAAGACCTTGTAGGTTATATAAATGAAAATTGATCTCTCAGCTAGAAGGTCTAGAACCTCAAGAAATATATCTTTTGACTTTTTTTTTTGATTGAGGTGGAATCGATTTCTTCTGACGTTTTTTTTGTTTAATTTTTCAAATGATAATTCAATCAATCAGTGTAGTATGAAGAATACAAAGCAATCAGCTGATGAGTTGAACGACCTAGTAGATAACTGGGTCAAGTATTAAACTGATCCTAAACAATCTGAAATTCATGGCATTAAATGTACATCTAAATTGAGCCTTGTTTGGTCATGTACTAAACTAATGTTTGATGAAGTGAAGAAGAGGGTTGGAAAGGGAGGTATGTGAAAAAGAAAGTAAAAAGCTCGGGAATTAAGAGAAACACGAAAAGGAAATTAAATAATCATGGCTCATGAAGGGTAGTGATTTAATTTAACACTATTATTACTTAAAAAGATAAGATATCTGTACAAATTGTTTAATTTTCAACTACATGCTTGATATTAATTTTCAACATTGTTACAGTTTTTGATAATTTTTATCTTCATGAATATTAGTGACTAGTATTTCTAGGTAAAGAAAGAAGATCAACTGATAAAGTATAGTTGGAAAGTATAAATTGGTAGTATTAAAGAAAAAGATAAGATTGAAATGATTAAAGTTATCATTGCAATCTTATAATAGTTATTAACCTAGTTTCTAGTTTGGTGATGGAAAAGTGCTAATTTTTATGGCTTTATTATTCTCATAGGTAGGATGATATATGAACCAAGTGATTAATTATTCAACATCTAAACATAGTTCCACAAGCGGGTTAATTGTAGAGATTTGTCATAATTTCTACCTTGCTTTGGGTTTGAGTTCATGACTTAGAGAAAACATATAACTGGTATTGGTTGGTGGTTAAGAGAGAGAGAATGAAATCAATCAGTCAATTAATTTTCAATCGCGTCGAGAGTTCTTGTTTAAGTCTAGTGGAACGTAGTGTATGAAGGTTGAGAATGTAGGATGGGGTTGTCAGGTGCAAGTGCTCATGAACGTGGTCGAGCATACGAGGAGAGAATCGATAACTGATATATCAAGTGGAGCCCAACCCTGGTTATCGTATTGATAAAGGGGGAAGGTAGATCCAGGGCAAGAGGGTGAGAGGTTCATGTCGTTCGCACATAATTGATTGGCATTTGCGCACCTGATTGCTGCCCTCTGACTCAGACCCCATTTGCACGTATTCCTTTACGATAATAAGGTACCTTCTAGTCACTATAGACTTAGTAAATTATCCACACTTCCTATTGCCGTAATGTCTCAATATTATAAACATTGAGAGGGTCGGGTAAGCTAAGATACCTCATGAAAATCTGATCGCTGTAATAAAATTGATTCAAGGGGTTCAATATTATCTTATCTCCATAGAATATCGGATTAGTGATTAGCACAATATTCAGCTTCAATATCATCAATGAAATGTGAAATATTGTTTCAGAAATAGATTTTGAAAGATTTATATATATTTTGGTGTGCTATCAGAGTGCTTTGTTCATGAAAATATATTTTCAATGATGGTTTTTTTAACTTTAGATAAAAAAAGTTATTCTTAGTTTTATTTTTAAGAATTCATGTTGAAAATATATGATTAAAACTTCATATTCCAAATACTTTAGCACCAAATTATTGAAAAGAGAAAATATTGAGGACCTTTTATTGATGTTTATTGTTTGAGTACACAACAATAGAGTTTCAATGATCCTTACCTGAACACAATGTCTCCGTGCTAACCAGCCAATATGTTGGAGATGTGGTGGGTCAGGTAAAGCTGATGCAAGTCTTAAAGCCTTCAATGTTAACATGGTGAGTGTAGAATGAATAGCATTGAACCAGACACTAGCTTCAGTACAATCACTAGCTCTTAGCCAACATTCATGAACTCCATCAGGTGAGTGAAGCTCTAAAATTCGTCCTTCTGTAACATAATTTAACACAAATTCATTAATGGTTGGGCTTCCTAAAAGTTATGCCGAATAAATCACAAAATTGTTATCACAATGGGATATATATTCAAGTTGAAGTCTTGGAATGAAGGCAGACTTATTGACATGACATATAACGCGCGACTGTGGCACGTTTTATCGCGCAAACTTTAATGCTTCCGACAGAAACTGAGGAAAATTAGTCACGAAGGTACGGAACCTCAGAATGTCAGTTAATGGACGATCTGCGCTCATCTTGCGGTTCTTAAATGACCGATGATGTGATTGATTGACCTTTGAATAATTGCATGAGTTTTTTTTTTATGAAAAAGTTATCTTTTGTGAAAGCTTGAACTTATCATGAATACTTTTTAATTATTATTTTTTTATTTGTCAAATAAAAATTACTTGACATTAGCAAATATTTACAGCCTTCTATTTATTTTCAGAAAGTTGTTCATGATACTTTTTTATCAACTAAAATTCAAATAATACCTACGAATGTAAATTCTTTAAAATGAAATAAAATAAAATCTCCTAATGACAAAGTAACTTGTAGAATCGTTAATTCTTAAGCAATTAAGTAAATGAAATCTGGAAAAAAATTTAATCGTATCATTAAAGAAACTTTTCCTATTGAATAATTTATCTGAACTCTTTGCCATGTAGAACTATTGTAATTATTAAACTATTGTTCATCATGAGTTTTCGCTTTATAGTATCCGGTACATTATAAAAGCACTATAACTTTCCAGAGTAGATGACAACTCAATTTCAAGTTGAAGCTGACGTGCTCGCGTGCACTTCAAACTTGTCGAGCGGCTTCTAAAGGTGTCAGGAGGAAAGGAAGGAAGCCAGCATTTCACAGTTTATTCCTGCTTATCTGTGAATCAGCAATTTTGCTAAGTTGTACCACAATAAATACATGATGCTCTTCATCTATAAGAGATGACACTTGCTCACTGGACCAAATTCTACCAGGTTCGTCATTGTTATCATGAGAGCTATCCAATTATGATTAAGTTTCGAATGATATGGCTTAGAGTGGAAGACAAGACAGCAGTGATGATGAAAAGTGAGTTAGCAAAAGGGTGCTTTTAATATTGATGATGATAATGATGATGTTGGTTTGAACATCTTTGGAAAAAATTCCCCTCCAAGATTGTCTTATCGGTTTTGAATATATTGACATGGTGGCTTCAATTTATCACTCTGGAGATGCTTCTTCCAATTTCTGAATGAATATCATCATCAAGACTAATTTTTTTATTCCACAAAGATCTCTTTATTTTATAACATTCCATTCAGCTTTTTTCTATCTTCAGTAAATTAGTAAACTTGAAGAAATGATGCTTATTTTTATACACTATATTATTTATTTGAAACTGGAATTAGCTGAACCTAAACAAATCTTGTCATTCATTTGAAAATCCTTTCCTCAATACCAAGGACTTACTCAAGTAGCGAGAATGAAGATGAAGACAAGTACAAAAAAGGACATCTAAACGACGGGATGTTGCAATTGAAAATGAAGAAGATTCCAACCAGAATAATCTAAACTGCGACAGGAAGGAAGTACGACTGTCGTTAAAGTCAAGACTGTGTGCTGGTATAACGTCTCAAAGGGTTCGTTTAATTGCTACGACTCTCAGGAAGTAGATACCAAAGTTCGTTTAATTAACTAAGTAATGACGCATATACTAGCTTTCATCTGTCAAGCTTTTACCTTACATTATAAATTTATTTTATCATTCAATTCAGCCAATTTTTTTTTTATATTTCCTAATATTATCATGATTATTATTATGATGCTCCTTTCAAGCTTGCTGCCATGTCCTTATGTTTTTCTAGCTTTAAAATTCTCTATTAGCTGCTGGTGCCTTTGGTCGTAAAAAAATTATTTCAACTTTTTATGCTTGGGATGTATTTTTAGAGCTGGCACTGGAGAAAAAATAATTAACTTATCTCTTGACATAAGGGAAAAGGAGACTTTCAGCATAAAGAAATGACCAAATAAGCTATTTGGATATTTTCAAAAATGATATTAAAAAAATAAGAATTTATTTTAATGCAAAATTAAGTCAAATATAAATGAAATATTTCCCCTTTTGATCATGGAATCAATATAGATTTGAAATATTTTTTTGTAAAAAAAATTTATTTAAACATCAAAAACAAATCTACCTATTTTTCAAAGCTGTCTATAGATGTTATGTAAATATAGCAAAATTGAATTTACACTGAAAGTAATTGGAATAGCTGTGTCTACCATTACCTGTTATCACTATATTTGAAAGCACCAACAACAGCTTGATAGTTGATGGCTGCTGGAGTGGTTGGAAGGATCTCCAAGTGTAAAGAGTTATGAATATATTGGTCCACATGAAACTGATAAGACTTCAGAATCTCATTTATTCAATATACTTTGTCAAAATAAATCAGTGGATATTCACTGTTTAGCAGTGATTTTTATTGATTCATTTTCAGAAAGTAAATCAAATGTTCTCAATGATATTAATGAATAAAATTGATTCAATCCATCCTTTTAATTGCCAATCATTTTCTAATTCCTACATGTTGGATATCATGATGAGGTTTTCAATTTTTTTAAATCATTATAAGACCAATAAGAGGACAGAAGAAAATCATTCTTCAAAAGTATTGATGAAATTCATGTCATGAATAAATTTTCAAAGCATATGCATTAATATTAATGCTGAAAATTGTTTTGAAAAATATTCAGTAGACCTATAATTTATTCTGATACTTGGAATATTAATGTTTACTTCGATATTGAAGCTATTGGGGATTTACAATCGTGTCCATATCTTGTAGAGCTTGGCTCTATACACGGTATATATTCTAGAAGCATAGGAAATCTTGTTTGAATTGGAAATGTTGGGTTTACCTCACTGGTAGACCAACGATAGATACTATACCTAGAACTTAGAAACGTATAAGCAGCTTTCTAGACGACAGATTCAGTGTTAAGGTTCTCCCTGTAACCAACAGTCTTTTTACTTCTTAAAAAGTTACGACGTGACCCTTTTACACAACTTTTATAAAGCGAATTTTTTTTTATTCACAACTATTTACTTTACCATATCGTTAATCTTTACTCCTGGAACTTGGAAAAAATAATATAAAATAAAAAATACTGCAAAAATAGGAAGAGGTAAATCTTCTATGGATTTTTTTTAAAAGGATTGAACAGGATTCCATGGGATTTATTCTAGCTTTCTCTCAAATTTATATGGAGATAAATCCAAACTGTCTGTAATACTAATAAAAATATATGTTTCCATTAATATTCAGTGATATTATTAGAAATATAATCATATTAACTATCACTTTTTTTTTTCATTTAAATGCATTGAGAAAAAAAGAGTAAATTATATCAACTTGATATGACTAACTCTTGTATTTTTGTCAACATACAGGATAATTTTATAAATAAAACTTTATTTAATACTCCCAATAAATAATGCAATGACAATCGTTTTTCATAACGATCAAGATTGAAGTAGCTTAAAGTTTAATTAGGATAATCGTATTATAATTTTCTGAAAAAGACTTCAAAAGCTCACTTTTCAACTTTTAATATTACTTAAAAATTTTCTTCTCGTTAACTCATCTGATTATAATACTCCAAAACTATCAGATGATCAAAGAACAATGATAAAAGTTTAAATAAGAATATTTTTAATGATGAAGAATGTTGGAATAAAAACTAAATAAATAAATTTACATTTAAAATTATTAAGCTCATAGTTATTTATAGTCTTTAGACTGTTATATATATATTGTTCAAATATACATAAATAATATTTATTAGAAATATCAATCCAGGAATGCCTGAGATTTTGAAGGACTCTTATCAAAGATGTAATACCTCAAAACAGGAGATTCTGATCAAATACCTCAGCAAAGCTTGATCTAGTCTTGATGATGGTCAGGTATTTCTCAATATTTTTCTACTTGAATTGGTTTTTTATAATCCAATACAACATGGAAATCAATCAGATCAATAATAAAATAATCTACTTTAGCTCAAAACACTTTAGCAAGTTAAGAAATGATTCCAACTTTCTAGGAGTATTAATTCAATTTAGCTAAGTAATGAATACAACTAATCATCAACACATTTCTCCTTGATGCCTTCAAAAACTTGATGATTGATAATTATTTATGCAACAAAGTTCTTTCTTGTTGGATTTAAAAGAATAAAGTTCATAGTTAGCTATAGCTAGTCTTCTGGCTGTTTTATAGGTTGTTTAAATTTATATAAATAATATTTATTAAATATATTTTAAATACACTAAATCCATTACCATCCATATTTGAATACTAGAGAAAAATCAAAATTATAATTCAATTAATGTCAACAAAACTTATAACTTGATAGGTATATATCTAGAGCAGACATTAACGCTTAATCTCAACATACAGGAACATTCATAAGGGCAACAAGGAATAGAACCTCGGAGGAATTCGCAAGTGTTCGTCAAAAGGGCTCGACCCAGCCACCTGCTCCTGAGGGAAGAGCATTGTGTCCCGGGACCCAAGTCTCCCTCCGGTCGATGGAAACTTTGTATTAGGTTAGCGTACGTGCCGGAACTGTGCGGCTGCAAAAGACCGATGGAAGCTGCTCAGAACACGTGTTAGAATCGTTGTTTGACTCGATAAAGAGGCTAAACTAGACGAAAAAACTACTAAAGATCTTTTATGAGTTTCAACACGAGTCCACTTGACTTTTTCACACCTTTATTCTTTTTATAAACCAACTAGAGGCTCCAATAACGTGCCAGGGATGGTACCAGGTTGATGTTGCGTGATGCAAGCTTGTAAATTAAACTGCATATTGTTGGTGAAAGACATTAGTGTCACTAGAAAGTTTGGCAAACGAAAAATGAGACAAGTGTTGGCTGATAACGCTTGTTGATTGTTCGTATTGGAAACTGATTGGAGTATTGGGTTGCAGATTATGGTTTTG